ACCAATGGTGTATCCAGTCCAGCTGCCCACCAGCTGCCCACAGAATCCCTCAGAAATGCACATACAAACTCCTCAGCAACTGGTGTACCCAGGCATGCCAACCCCGAGAATTGAGGCAGCACAAAGCCAGCAATGCTAGTAGTCACTGACAGCCTTTTCCTCCATGAATGTCTCCAATCCCCTTGTAAAGCCATCCAAATTGGTTGCCATCACAAATGATGGCCCAAATAGGATGCGATTATGGATTGCAACATCATGGCCAGATCATGTACCAGAACCAGGGATTACTGGTGTTAACACAGTTTCATAGAATCATAGAATAGTAGAGTTGGAAGGGGCCATGAAGGCCATCGAGTCCAACCCCCTGTTGTTGCAGGACACCAGTTTACACCATCCCACTCAGATGGCTGTCCAGTTTCTTTCTGAATGTCTCCAGTGTAGGAGAGTCCACCACCTCTCTAGGCAGCTGGTTCCAGTCATATTGCTCTGACAGTGAGGAATTTTGAAACTCTTCAATTACTTATAGGATCTAAGGGATTCCTAACCCTTTCCAGGTTGTGTCTGCTGTCTAATAGCCTTACCCCAACTGGTGAAATAGTGTAACATGCAGGGTTTAAACAATCTTCCCTCTCCCAATCTTTGACCCATTTACTGGGCAGAAAGCCCCACTTATTTTGGATAAATCTTCTTGTACATGTGTGTGCTTAAGGTTGCATGTTTGCAGGTTTTCATATCAGTTTATATTAATTGATTTTGCAATGAAGAGTTTAAGAATTTCACACAGTTCATCGTACCTAAACTACCTTTCTTTCCAAAGATGACTTAGGTACCTCTTTTTCTCCCTCTGGGTGCCTTATAGTGATATATCCAAGTTTCTTGGTCATTGTGTTTCATCCTTTTACACACAATCTCTTCAATCTTCCCCAAAAAGTGTGTGCAATGCAATTTGCTAGATGCTCTTCCAATTTTGGGACCCACCTTCTAACAAACTATAGTTTTTAAATGTTTTTTAAACCCTGCACAAACTTGCATGTCTCTGTTATAGCACAAACTGAGGCATGTTTTCTGAGAAGTAAGTCCCATGAGGCTTACGCCCAGGTAAGCGTGCATATAACTGCAGCCCTAATCTGTATTTTTCATTTGCTAATTTCCTTCTAGCATGGCTCAAGATCTTCTGCTGCATCCTAGATTCTACCCACCCAGAGCCAAGGTGATTTCTTGCCACCTTCTTTGATGCAGCAGGAAATATGGCACTGCGCTTCTGCGACTGTGTGCCATGGACTAGTCTTTCAAGAAAAAAGGAAACATTGACAGCAATGGTGCAACTTCTGAGGGCACAACACAGGTGCAAATCAAAGCCTTAAGAGAACCAAACTTTGCCTCCTGAAGATTTATCAAGGTTTATTTAACAGTGTTGATTTGTAAGATACAACCATATCAGCAGTATTCAGGAAAAACAGGTAGTAGAGGGGACATGGGGAATTACAGACCAGTTAGCCTTAAGTGCATTCCAGGAGACACAATGGAAAGGCTCATGATAGTGTGAGATCTAGTGACCCTAGATAGGGAAGGGAGGTTGGTGGCCGTGCAACATGGCTTCTGCAAAAACAGGTCCTGCCGGACAAACCTTGTGGAACTCTATGAGGTTTTGAGGTGGCTAGATGGAGGGGACGCAATGGATGTGGTTCACCTGGATTTCAACAAGGCCTTTGACAAAGTGCTGCATGATCTTCTGGTTGAGAAATTGAAGAGTTTTGGGATAGACCCATGTACTCTTTGATTGATTAGGGCATGGTTGACAGACCGAAAGCAGAGGGTAACTATTAGTAGGGAATCATCAGGATGCTGGCCAGTAATGAATGAAGTCCCCTGAGGCTCTGTTTTGGGACTAATCCTGTTCAATCTTTTCACCAATGACCTGGAAGAGGGGGTGACTGGTCTGTTGATCAAATTCACCAACAATACTAAAATGGGGTGGGGGGGGGTGGCCACCACCAAAGAGCAGGTACTTTGGATCCAGAAGGATCTGGACACACTACAGAAGTGGTGGGGGCCTTATGGCCTCTCCAATCCCCTCCCTACACTTGAATAGGTATACCAGCTAGACAGGCCCAGAGGCTTCAAGTAATTTAAAAGGAGGGAAATTAAGCAAAATCTTCTTGGTCCTTCTCTTACCCTGCCTGGCTCTTGCCAGCATGGCACAGGATAAGGCAAGTGCTTCAGATTCTGAGCTCTCTGCCCAGTGCCCATGATGGTGCCCCAGAACTCTAACTGGCAGTTTTGTCTGATTGTCTTATTGTCAGGAGAGGCATTTCCAGCATTCAGAATGAGGGATAAAATTCACACAGCCTGGTGGTTACCAAATGTTCAGAGATCAAAGCTGGTTCCAATGGAAGGAGGAACGGCTACCTGGGGAGATCCAAGGACTGGGCTGGGACTGCTGTCCTGAGGTGCTGCATCCTTTCTCTAGAGACCCAGCCCTGTTGTCTCTCCCCGTCCTTGCTACTGAATGTTCATCTCTTCCCACCAAAGATCTAAGCAGTGAAAATAGCAAAGAAAAGAAAAGCAGCAGCAGCCTTCTTTCACTGAAACCTTTTTTTTTCTTCTGGACTTTGGTGTGGGTTGGACTTAGAGGGCAGCAAATGTTTAGCAAAGTCAGGAGCAAAGAAGGGAGGATCTTGCAAAGCAGAAGAAGAAGAAAAAAATACTGGTACAAGCACTGCACGATCACTTCTGCAATGGCTTTACTCATGCAGTTTCTGATTAACCAAGTGAATCCACAAATAGGGACGAGGGACCTTTTCCCTATGAAAGGTCTTTAACCCACAGGAAAAGTCAGCCAGTGGCTGCCGTTGATGGTCAGTGGGGCTAGAGCAAAAAGGGAACAGAGTTGCAGAACTGCATCGTTCTTTCTCTATGCCACTCCAGCCTCTCTCGAAATCTATATGCTTACAAGCCAATTGATAAGCTAGAGGTAAGTTGGGAGAGCAAGCTATTTTTAAGACTACTTTGTTACCAGAGCTGACAGGCTCCATGGCTGTTTGCCTCTCAGTGGTTTAATGGCAACCAAAAGAACACCTTTTCTGCCTCTCTAAATTAGGTTTTAAAATCTGCAAGCAGTAACAACTCAGGTGCAGGTTTGTTGCAACCCCAGATTCTGTCCCCAATCTAATATTACGCACCTGACTTGATGGCAGCCCTTGGAATTTTAGTCAAAACAAACAAAAGCCTTAAGTTTGCCCACAATTTTCTTAACAGCAGTGACAGTTTATGGGCAAAGTTTCAAAACACTTTTCTAATGCCGAGAGTGCTATGGGTGTTCTCACATTAGAGCTGCCATGGGGAGCCTATTTGCAGAACAGTGAATTGTCCGTAATAGTGAATTTTCTATAATATGATACACACAACAATGTAATAGTGAATGTCTGCAGTGGTTGTGGCAAGTTACAAAACACCAATTTCCCAGAAGCCTGAAGCTAAAAGAAACTAGCATGTTCAAAAAGCTAAGTACAAGGCAAAAAAGACTTTACTCCAGCTTGCCTTGTTCTCTTTTCTGTGTGGTTGTGCATACTTCAAAACAAAGCACTGGGATGCAGTTTACTTATGTTCATTTTCTCAGAATGATTCTAAGGTCCGTGGGGGTACCAGAACCCTTCTTGGAAATAAAGGTGGTGCTGGCATCACTTTGCAGTTAAACAACTGTGTTTAGTTATAAAAAAGAAAAGAACGTATCAGCAGCAAGTTGATTTGGAGGCACCAAAACTGGTATTCATGGGCACACTGGACCCCTTAGTTTAGGCCACTGAAATTAAGAAGTGTAATGGTATTTCAAGATGACCCCCATGCTAGGAAGATTTAACATATGGCGGACTGAGATGTGCAAACACACCCAGATGTCTGACATGGAAAGCACAGTATCAGATTTCAAGTCCAGGGTTATAGTAATGGAAACTGCAACACTGCAATTAGCAGAAGGGTGAAATTTTACTCAAAAAACCCACCTATATGAAATAGCTTGGCGATTTGGAAAGACTTCCTGCCTAAGCTCACTAACAGGCCTTTTTCTTCTGCAGCAGAGGTGAGAAATGATTGTAGCAAAAATATCAATAGATGAAGCTGTGCTTGCTTTGGGGGGTGAAGAAAAGCAGCAGCACCATAAGGTGCAGGATAGCAGTTACAATTAAATCTAAAAATAATAATTAGCAATACAATTATATTGCACTAGTACGTGTCAGACCAGGACTGTGGAGACTCGAATCCAAATCTTCACCTAGTCATGTAGCACACTAGGCCAATGGATCAGCCACTCATCAGCTCTCGTCTTAACCTAACAGGGTGGTTGTAAGGATTAAAGAGAGGCCGGGGAATGAAGGGTTATGTACCTCTTTGGATGAAATGGGGGATATATATAATCGATAAATAAGTTTACTTCGGTCGCGATCGCACAGCCATGCTGGCCTCCACGCGCTGGTCCTAACGCCACCTTTTCGTGAGCTCCAAAAGCAACTACGAACCACCCCAAAACTGTCAAATGCTAGTTTTGCCCCCAAGCCCTGCCCAACCTCGTGCATGTGGTTTTGCCTCTTAGCCTGCAGCCAGGTGCTCTGTTACTTGGGAGCAGGCTCGCTTCCGAGTAAGCACACGCAGCGCGGCCGCAGAACTGGCCTCCCAACTCTCAAGTCATCTCCTTCCTAGGCCCTCCTTCCCCATCCCCCTCAATCATATTCCCATCCGCCCCACCCGTTGTCGCCCCTCCCTCCAAATGACAACCTCAGTGCTGCCAGAGCGCATGCTCCAAAGTTGCACATACCTTTCCTCCCTGGTTCCCGCCTCTCGCCACGGCCCCCGCCCCCGCCCCGATAGCTGGACAAACCGCCCTTTCTCCAAAGAAGAATCGTGATTGGCGGAGTCGCCTTTCCTTCGGTCAAGCTTTCGCGCTGCTATTGGCGAAAGGTCGCGTGAGGGAAAGTCGAGGCGGGGATTACGGACAATATAAACGCTGCGAGTGCCCGTTTTCCTTTCTGCTGCACCGTGCTCGCTGTGGTAGGGTCGTCGCTGCCAGTGTTTGACTGCTGCGCCGTCGCTGCCGCTTTTTTTTCCTTCCTCCCCCAGCTCCTCTACTCGATTCATTCCCACTATGGCCAACCCCGTCGTTTTCTTCGATATCTCCGCTGACGGCGAGCATCTAGGGCGTGTCACCTTTGAGGTACGAAGGCGGGAAGGACCGTTGAGGAGAAGTAGGGAGGGGGAGCAAGCTGGGTTGGAGGATGGACGCGCCACCGCCGCCATTTCCTGCCGGGGAGGGAACGCGGGGCCATTTTGGGAATTCTCTATCAAAAGGAGGGGGCCGAGAAGAGGGAGGAACGCCCGCGGGTGGGAGAGAGGAAAAAGCACGAGCCTCACTGCGGCGCGCGAGGAGCTGCGCGCGCACTCTGGCGGCGGGGGGCCGGCGGCGGCAAGGGAGCGGAGGGAGGGAAGGAAGGAAGGAAGGAAGGAAGTGCGCGCGGGCGTCGCCGCAGCCGCCGCCGCCTCCACGTGGCCTGCGCAGCCTTGCCCTGGGGAAGCGCGAGCTGCCTTGCTTCGCGCCGTCGCCTTTGTCTTCCTGCAGCCGCTTCTCCCGTTTCGGGAGGAGGACTTAGCGCGGGAGAGGCCGGATGCTCGGCCTGCCCTTCAGGTTACTTCGGGTGAAATCCCTTTCCTGCGCCCACGTCCTGCCCGTCCTTACTGCGGGGGGCGGGGGGGGGGTCTGCAGCCGCATTGCTGGGGGAAATACCCTCGGCTGCTGTTTCTCACACGTTGCGAGGAAGGGCCGATTTGGCATGAAAAGGACGTACTTAAGGATTCGCTTAAGATACCCGCAAGAGCTTTTAATTGGAACATTAAAGCAATTGCTCCGGCAGAGCCATTCTAAATGGTAGCGGGCGGGGAAGATCTCAGTGGGCCCAAACTGGCCTGGTACTGGTGAGGTTTTTTAATTTCTTCTCCAGCAACCCAAATGGCGGGCAACTGTTTGGAGCGATTTTCTAGCACGGACTTTTTGTTCTGTATTGCATACTAATTTTATGCGGAAGTGAGATTCGCATATCCCCTTAAAAAAAAAAAAGTGACGGGTGCGGCTCTGTTTTGCTGGAACTGTTCACGGTTTAGGATTCTGGCCAATATCTCATCCTCCTGAAGTGCCCGCAGGTTGAAAATGACTGAAATTTCTCAATAAGCTTTTGATGTGCTCTATCGTGTGCTGCTTTGTAGTGGCAAACTTGACTAGGAACATCTTGGGGTGCACGATTTCAAAGTGCTAGAACATTGCTACCAAGGAGGCTGTGGCAACTCCCCCCCCCAACAAAGCTTTCCAGCACTTAAGGAAATGGTATTTGAGCCCGTGTGAATGCATAGCACACTAGGGTAATCGACCAGATGTTTTCTTACCAGTTTTTCTTTGCTACAGTATTTCAATAGTGGTTTTACCTTGCTCTTTGCAAATTCTGCAATGGCCCTAAACCAAGCCACATAGCTTGCATACATCTCTTTTCAATAATTGATTTTGGTGGCTGGCTGTGTAACTGCTGTAAATGAGTTTACACCAAGTGGGTTGATGATAAATACATTTGAGTGACAAGGGTTTTCCCTGATAATCAGGTGGCCTCAGTTTCCTGTTGGTGGTAAATGGGCTGCCCATGTTTAGCTAGACTTGCCCCTTGTTTGCAGACTCAGAAGAGTGCTGTTCGGTTTGAGCTGGAGGCATGCTGAGCCAGTACTGCATGCCTTCATTCCACTGACTAGCATGAGCCTTGTATAAACATGAGCATTATCTGAAATTTTTGTATCATTAGGGTTCAGTTGCGTAAATGGACTTTATTTCTTATTCACAGACTAGTGGCAGACCTTTGGACACTAATGATTTCCATATTAAGTCCTCTAGAATCTTTTGTAATAGTCATAATACTGGAAGCAATTTGATGCTGTCACAATCAGTGAGCTTGCTCATGTGTCAGTTAACACAGACCAAATCAGTGCAACACTTTCCCAGTGTAGAATATTGCCTGATAATAGGGTATGATATACTGTAAAATGAAGCAGATGGCTTTTTTAAAAGTTAATTGGTTGGTAAAACATGATAAATTGTTCTCACTTTTTTATTGCTAGAAAATCAGATATTCATGTGTGTGTGCTAATTGGTGTAATCATGGCATTAATTGACATCTACTTTTTCTTGACTCACAGCTGTTCGCAGACAAAGTTCCAAAGACAGCAGGTTTGTACATTTTATTCCTTTATCTCCAGGCATGTGTGTTGAAACAATATTATCAAGAAAATAGTCTTTCAATTATATGCCTTTGATTTCAGAGAATTTCCGTGCCTTGAGCACTGGGGAGAAAGGCTTTGGTTACAAGGGGTCCTGTTTCCACAGAATCATTCCTGGGTTCATGTGCCAGGTGTGTAGCACTTCTTGATTTTTACAATACCTTGTTGCATTAAATGTGTTATATTCAAGAAGCATTGATTTTTTTTTTTGCCCTCATGGCTAAAAATAAGTTGGGTACATCAATGGGTCTAGTCCTTAGGATTTGATTTGTTTTGTACTAGTTTGACAGTTCTTTTACTACAAGGTCATTTATTTGAATAATTTAGCCTAATATTCAGTTTCAGCTGTAGCTTTGTATTGTCTTTTTTGTAGGGGGGTGACTTTACCCGCCATAACGGAACAGGTGGTAAATCCATTTATGGCGAGAAGTTTGCTGATGAGAACTTCCTCCTCAAGCACACAGGACCTGGCATATTGTCTATGGCAAATGCGGGTCCTGATACAAATGGGTCTCAATTCTTCATCTGTACTGCTAAAACTGACTGGTGAGTACTTTATTTTATTTCTCTGTGGCCCCATGGCTGAAACATCGGGCTGCTTGCTTGGCTTGAGACTTGGTAGTGAACCTATGTCTTCATTAAAATAGTTTACTCACATTGGCTTAAAGTGGAGGTATTTAAGCATTTCTTACTAGTGTAGCCATTGTTTGCTGCCTCTGATCTAAATTTGAAACACTGAGCTAATACTTAAGTGGATTCATGGAAACAAGCTAGATTTGCAAAAACCTTTGTGTGTGCCAATCTGTGTATTGCGTGTGGCTTGCAGATTTGCAATGCGTAATTCTCTACACACACACACACGTGTGTTAAACCCTGTGCTTAATATGTCTCCTTAGGTTGGATGGGAAACATGTGGTCTTTGGCAAAGTCAAAGATGGAATGAATATTGTGGAAGCAATTGAACGCTTTGGATCAAGGAATGGGAAGACGAGCAAGAAGATCACCATCTCTGACTGTGGGCAGTTGTCTTAACAATCAACCATTCCTTCTGTAGCTGGGTTTAGTCCCCTGTAATCCCTGTGCTCCTGACTTACTGCTGCTTTTCTATTGGGTTTCGATTTCTGTGCTCCCTCACAAGTCCAGCTGGACTGAAGACAACTTGGTCTGCAAAATGAAATAAACAAGTTAAACCACATACTAGCTTGGTGTTTTCTCCCTATAGGGATCAGAGGTCTGTGTCCTCAATGTTTTCAAATCTTTGGTAGTTTAGGAGTAAGTATGCATGCAGCTTTTATTCCTAGTATAAATAGATTCTGGCAGTCCTAACCCATAATTAAAGTTGGGTCTTATTTACCATTTTTTCAGACTAACTTAATGAAATTAAGTTTGCCTAAATAGTCTTAGTGATACTGTCACTTTGACTGTCAGCATTGATATCAGCTGGCTTGAGTAAAGCAAGAATTTCCTGTAGACAGCTGCTGAGCAGGAGTTGCCAAGTCTCTGGGGCAGATGGTTTGAACTAGACTATAGCTAAGTGTGCATATTGGCAGGTCCAATTATCTTGCTTCAAGGAGAAGGAAATAAGTGGCTAGAAAGTCTAACCAGTATTGTTTTGTTAGTTGCAAATGTTCTACCTGATCACAAACTGAAGCAAGGTAATTCGGGTCTCAGAAGGATGTTAAAACCATTGTACATGTATAAACTGGTATTCTAAAGTGGCTTAAGTACTTGCAAATGACACACAGCCTCAGGATTTTACCTAGTGAATGTCCTTCCTTAAAATCCTGTTGTTCAGATGTTAATTCTAATGAATAGGAATACAACCTCTTGTGTGCTTGAGTGCATTTTCCACCCAACTGCAGCTTTAAATCCCAAAGCTAATGCTGCTAGATTTTTATTTTTTATTCAGGTAAAAGGCATGCTGTTTCCCTCTGAGATGGTAATTTGTTAAATATGTTTGGCCTCACATGAAGTTAGCTTTGAATGCACTGCTGTCCCACTTTGCTTCATTGCTAAAGTTCACATTTGCTCTGATGCTGTGAAAGCGTAGTAGTAACTCAGGATTCGCCTGCTTGGGTTCCTGTAACAGGCCGTTCCTCCAAGTGTCCTGCTGAAGATGTAACTGCAACATGGATTCCTTATCTGATCAGGAATTATATCTTACATCTAAAGCTGTTCTTAGGTGCTAGGCTTGTAGCAACCATATTATGGCAAAACTTTCATTTTCTCCCAACATTTGGCTTTGTCAAATGAACCAACACTACTAAACTTGCTTGGAGCTTAATTCCAGGTATGCACAAGAGGTGGTGAGCACATGGAAAGACTAACCTGTGTAGCTTTGAGATCATTCTGAAAATCCACCATAACACTGGCTTTACAATAACTGTTGGAATAAGCCAGTATTGGGTTAGTGATCATCCTGCTGACCTTCCATTGCAATCTGTTAACTTAGTAAAACTTAATTGGTTGAGGACTGGTTTTTACTGGTGAGCCTGCAGTGACCATGAAGCATCTTAAATGTCCTGCCAGTGTTTAATCAAATCATGTTTATCCAATATGTTCTTACTGTCATGCTGTTTAAACCAAATTCTTCATTGCAGGGCAGCTCACAGTTGGCTGTGCTACTAAGATCTTTGTGGTGGGGTATGAGCAAAAACAGTTGTTACAGAAAAAACCTTTCACCCCCTTGGTAGTCTAGTGTCTGTGCTGCTTGGGTAAGAGTTCTTATGATCCAACACATGGAAAAAGCTGTTCTAGAAACTTACATGCAGAGGATTTTGAACTGGCTTGTTTGGGAGGTCAGCTGTCCTCTGAAAAGAAAATGGTGTAGATGTGTTCAGCCCCCTCATAGAGCCACAGCATTTCAAATGACAAAATGCCAAAGGGGGTTAAGCTTTAAATTGCATTCAGTCTACAAAATGCTGCTGTGCTATTAAGGGGAAACAGGAGTGAAAGTCATCTTTTCATGTGAATAAAAGGAAGTAATTCCCTTGCTAATAGTGTTTAGTCAATTTATAATTCAAGTGTTAACCTATTAGGATATTTGTGCATGCCTCAACATGTAAATATAATTGGATTGGATAAATCAATAGAATTCAGTATGAGTATTGTACAATCTATGTGGTGCAAGCTTGTTGCTAAGAATTCATAACAGGAAAAAATAGAGCATGCATAGGATTGTGTCATTAACTGCCCTGTTACCTTGTTTGTTGCTTTCTGTAGTGGCCCATGTAAAATGAATTCATTGCATACAATTTGCAAGATTTTATTTCTGCTCTGCTAGTTGTAACTTCAGCAGGATTGTGAACCCTTTCATGTGGTGTCTCTTGCTTGGGGCATTCTCTAGGATGATGGAATTCATTGTATGGCAGCAGCTTTTGCGTGTGAAGAGATGCATTAATTACAACCTGAACTGACATGTCTGCAGCTTTTTGTCCATTATCTGAGGCAATTACGGGAGGTGCTATAGCCAATACACAACATGGCGATTCCTATTCTGGTCTGATCAAAACTAAGGATAGGGAGAGCTAGGAAGGAAGCCACTGCTGCAGATTACATCATCTGCTGCCCCCAAGAGTCAGGTCTGCAGAAGTGGCTTTGGATGCTTTGTACAGAAAGAAAACTCTTACTGCATGAGATGAAACCAGGGCTCCATTTCAGCTTGGCTTTGCAGCATTTCTCCAATCTTACTAAGCTGAGTCATTTCTCTAACAGTCTTTGAGAAATAAGGATGGGCTGCTAAGGAATTTGAGCAGCAGGCACCTAGAATGCTAGCATAACAATGGAAGTGACCCTAAAAGCCAGCAACCAAGATGTCAGCTGCACAGAAAGCTCTGTCCAAGTAATTTGCAGTCTCCCCATTTTTATCAAATGCACAGTACTCAGTATTAGGATACACAACCAATAGAGCTACATACTAGGAAAAAAATTGCAAACCCAAGAACACCCCACGAAAATTCCATTTTAGTGGAATGTATTCCCTTTTTAGTATTCTCTTGCCTCCCCACTGCATTGCTTGAGGCTTTCCCAAGTCTACAACTTCGCAAAGATTCCTTCAGTCACGCAGAAGACTCGTGATGAGCTGCCTTTGATTTATCTACTGCTGCTTAAGCTTTCATTTCCAATTGCCATGACTAGAAGCCTCATTTGCAAAATCAGACTTTATCAGTGGATAGATCCCTAATAGAAAAAGTCTTAATACTTTATAAATTAGATACCTGTCAGGGAACCAATGAAACAATGCTTGAATACAGTCGCATAATAAGCATATGTGGCTTCAGTTTGAAGGTAAGTGTGATGCTTTTGTGGGTTTAAAAAGCGGTGCAATTTCTGAGCCTGGGATTCCTTGGGTATATTTGCTTGCTTTAAAGTGTAGCGATCCAGCTCTGTTCATTCTACTGGGAAGGGGGGAGCTGGGTTTCCGCTTGTGTGTTGCTGCCTTGACACCGATGGATCAAAGTGAGATTTTTGCCTTCCCCCCACCCGCTCTGGTCGCCCCCAGTTTTACAGCCTTACCAACCCCCCTTCATACAGCAGCCCTTTCAAGCAATCGAGAAAATAGCTGTGGGTAGGGCAAACAAAAAGCCAACGGGCTTGATTCCCTGAAACAGCAGTAACCGGTTTTTTGGTGCTCCACGCTGCCGTATATTTGGCATTGCCTGCGCCGTAAGGATTGCCCCTAATACACTTTTCCTTTAAAAGCTGCGTCCGGTCAAATGAGAAATCTGTTGCTGGTCTTTCTCAAAGTAAGGACCAAGGAAGGCTTTCTGTCCGTGACACAGCCCACAAACAAGGGAGGGTGGAACCGCTCCTTCCTACAAAAACGCCCTTGCATGTTGAACGCGGATATATCGGGCGGTTTCCGTACTCTAGCATGCTACCTCTCCCTATACATGGAGTTATTTTGTATACCCCAAGCCCAGGTTTGGCCGCCCCCGCGAGGCCAGGCTTCCACCGCCTGGAGGTGCGCTGTTTTGACCATGTTCCCGCTTTCGGAAGCCGCACGGTTGGAGCCTGCCCCGCCAAATTGCTGCAATGCAACGCAGCGCAACGACGATGTCCGTTCCCTATCCCATAGGAGCCCTGCACCAAGCCCAAAAATAACTCGCCTTTCTCACCCCGCTGTCCATTCCCTCCCCAAGGAGAGTCACGAGCGTAATTTCCGCGGGAAAGGGCCCGGGGTGGAGGGCTAGCCCCAAAATTCCTGTAGAATCGGACGGTAAGCGCGGCTCTGCCCTGCACACAGCTTCGGTCTTAACACGCTTCTTTCTTTCAGCAGCCAGGAAACCCGCCCAACGAGCAAGGCGCAGCCGGCGCCCCACGATGATTCATCCGTGGGTGGATGAGGTCGGAAGGGATGCAGGAGGTAGCCCTGCCCGCGCCAGTGGAAATCTACCGCTCCCTCCTTCTCTGCCAGCTGATTCCTTCTCTTCCCGCCCCGTTTCCCGGGTGTTCTCCCTTGGGGGCTGCAGTTTCCAGACCGAATTGTGTGGCAAGAGAGCGCCACCACGTGCTTGTTGCAGGCAATAGAGGAGCTCCTAGTTTTCTAGGGTTGCAGGTAAAACGGAAACCCCTCTGCACGTGCGTGTCCAGCACAAATGAAACGTGATTTCAGTTCCCTATTGGAAAACCTTTCTTCAGTTTTTTCCTCCCAACCCATTTTGGAATTGTCGGGGAAACTCCCCAAGTTCTAAAAAGGCAGGGATTGTTGAATCAGGCAGGAGTTCTACTCTCCTCAATGGAGTTTATTCCCAGGTAAGAATTTCTGTTTAAGAAATGTCCCATGACCCTCCAGCTTTATTTCTGTAGCTAATCAGCACTTCAGGGAACTTTTTTTTAGAGTAAGAAAGATGCACCATTTAATTATTAAGTGCAAAAGAAAGTGCAAGTTCAGCTTGTGTATTTATGTTGTTATTTTTATTGTAGTGCCACCTCTGGATCAGAAAAGCAGGAAAGGAAATGCTGCTCAGGTAGGACTTGGATCTCCATTCTGCAGATTATCATCCTTGTGTAGAAAAGCTCTTATTCTTGGATTGTGAATTACCTGGGCTAGGAAAGTGCTAAGTATACATTTAATAAATACATAATTCAGTGGTGGAGCACATGCTGTGCATACAGATGGTCCTTGGTATAATCCCTAGCATTTCCTGGTGAAATAAGCATGAAATGTTTATGAAAGAGCTGCAGGGCCACTGT